GGGGAGAGAAAGAAAGACTTTTGCTGCTTCTCTTGCGTGCAGTCAAAAGCAGAAGAAAGAAGAAAGAAGCAGCCCGGAGGCCAGGTGAGGCGCGTGGGGTGAGTGGGGCAAGTTCTCCCCTCTGCCCTTTCCACCCCTCTCCTCAGTGGACTAGAAGACATCCAAATTCCCTTCCAGCTCTGTTATTCTCTTAATTCTGAACAATTGCCCTCGGAGCTATAGACTGTAATTGTTAGGTGTGCAAAATGGAGGAACAGAAAGTTCCATTCAAGGGAAGCTCAAAACAAGAAGAGGCTCATTTTGAAGTACAGCAAAGAACAAGAAACAGACACATATATTCCTTCAATCTTTTACTGTTGCATTTTAATAATAAAAATATAGAACTATACAATTAGATTTTTTCATTGCCTATTTCCGTTGAACTAAAAGTCATTACCCTGTTTTCCATAGAAACATCACCTTCAGTAGTATTTGAACGACGCAACCATTTTGTGGGAATTCTGTAACCGCGCTAAACAAGACCTATCTGTGTGACTTCCATCCAAATACAGATTTGCAAGGACTAAAAGGGATCCCAGAGATACTTATTTAGCAAAACAAAGAGGAAGTCAAGTTTCTGCAACCAATATTAAAAAGTGTGACAAAAGAGCAGGTTGTACAAAAAGGTCTCACATACTAAATTCAAACAAAGGAAAATCTGGGGTATTGGTGTCATTGCTAAACAAAAGAGTTGCTTGAAATGGGATTGTGCATCTTTCACTATGGAGTTTCCAGGGCCCAAGTTGCTACTTAACACCACCTGAATTGTGCCCAGATGAGAAAGACAGCCTCCTCTTCCTCCAAATGGGTGCAATTCAGCAACCCTTGACTGGCCAAGAGCTGCTAGACAGGCCAGCTTCTGGGTCACTCTCTTTCCCTAAGAGAGTGCTGTTGTCTATTTCCCCAACCAATCATGCATTTGGCATCTACAAAAGCAGTGGATCCTGTGGCCGAGCATCTCCGTTGCAACTCCGGAAGTCACTCCGCCTGGGACCTTTCCACCAATCTATAGTAGGGGCCTTGCCGGCCCATCAGCTCCGTGTGAGTCCCTTCTTCCACAACCTCTCCTCCTTCCAGCACCACAATCTTGTCTGCGTTCTCCACCGTCTGCATCCGATGAGCAATCACCAACACCGTCCGGGCTCCACTGGTCTGCACAGACCGCTGGATCTGGAAAAGGAAGCAATGATCCAGAGGAAATCCTGACCTCTTTAGAAGCACTAGATCAATGATGGCGAACCTTATTTGTTGTGGTGTGCTGAAAGTGGGTGCATGTGCGATAGCGCACACACCTGTGCTGGCACCCACAATGCAATGCACCCTGCCCCCCTTGCGCATGTGTGCACAACATCCCCGCCCCGAACCCCTTACCTGCATTGTGCATGTGCGCACCTCCCAGCTGATTTTCGGCCTGTTTGAGGCCGTTTTCGCCCTCCCGCAGGCTCGAAAGAAGCCTCTGCAGCCTTGGGAGGCCGAAAAATGGGCCTTTCGAAAATATCGGAAGTGCCCGTTTTCAGCCTCCGGAGCTCAGGGGAGGCCGTTTTCACCCTCTTGGAGGCTTGAGGGAAGCCTCTGCAGCCTTGGGAGGCTGAAAAACGGGCCCGTTCTGGCACTTCTGGTATTTCCGGAAGGCCTATTTTTCAGCCTCCCGAGGCTCTAAGGCTTTCCTCAAGCCTCTGGCAGGGTGAAAACGGCCTCAAATGGACCAAAAATTAGTTGGGAGGTGCGTGCATGTGCAGTGCAGGTAAGTTTGGATGGGGCTCACGTGCCCGCACAAATGACTCTGTGTGCTATCTGTGGCACGTGTGCCACAGGTTCACCATCACGGCACTAAATAGAAGCTCCCTCACATTTCCACTGAAAAGTGCTTCTCCAGCACTGCAATAGAGTTTGGCCCCAAACCTTTTGCAGCCTGGAAAACAATAAAAACCACCCAAATGAAGGCAAATATGCATGGCCTAGGAGAATGTTCCAAGATCTACTCTGTGTTGGTTACCAGAACCAGAGATTTAGCAAACTTGGAAGAAATTACGATACTTCCAGTCAAATAAACCCAGTTTTCCTATGCTGTCACCTCAGATTAAAAATTCAGATGAAGCCCTTCAGCGGCCCTGAACTACTCCAGCCAAGATCCCATCCCAGCCCCCTCGTGGATTCCCTGCACTCACCGCAGCGTCACTCTCGGGGGCCAAGGCACTTGTGGCTTCATCCAGCACCAAGACCTTCGGGTCACGGATCAGGGCCCGGGCGATGGCCAGCCGTTGCTTCTGCCCGATGGAGAGCTGGCCCCCCTTCTCCCCCACCTCTACAAAAGAAGGCAAGCAAGGAAAATCAAGAGCGAAGTCAAGGCTGACCAAATCTTGTTGCCCTAAAGGGGTGGCAAAGCCACTCAGCTGAAAGACAAGGCAAAACTAGAAGCCCAACTTCTAGTGGGAGGGAGATACCGTAATAATGGTGCATAAGTGCACCATCGTGCCTACCGTCTCTGTCCTATTGTCCCCATTTATTCGTACCTATTTCCTGTATTCTTACTCATGCTTATACTTATATCTATTATCTTGTAAGCGATTGACAAATGAAATAAATAAATAAATAAAATTTGGACAGTGCAAAAGGTCCAGAGGAGGGGAAAAGACCTCCCTGCACTTTTTAACAATTATAGAAGAGATTTTAGGATTTGTGATTTTTGAAATGGCACAACGGTGCAATCAGCTCTTTGAATTCTCTTTTCTGCATTAGTGTTTGATATTGTTACAATTACAATGATCGTGTAACCCGGAGCGTTACCGATAGTCCTCAAGTTACAAGTGCAACTGTGACAGGAGTTTTCATTGCTAAGCGATTGTTCTGACCCAAGCCTCGTTCAAATCAAAGAAACACAAAACAGATAAAAGCAAAACCTTTTTAATGCCTCTCTGTGAATTCCGTTCATTCAGAGTAAAGTGCTATTAAAATTAATTGTCCCAGATAAGAACAAGCCTTGTCAAGGTATTGCAAGGCTGCCAAAAACACAAGATTAAATTGCAAGGAAATATTCAAAGCCAAAAGTCTCAGAACACAAACCAGGATAGACTGAACTTCCACGAGACTTGAAGTGCAAGAACTTCTTTGCTTCCTGCAAAGAACCCCACCCCTTAAGGCTGGCTTTTATCCCTTAAGGGAGAGGCCGTCACCTTGCAGCCTTACTCCCGAGTCACTTGTGCTGCTGCAGCTGCTCTTTCTTTGGAGCAGCCCTGTGGCCATGCGCACTGGGCACAGGCTCCTCGGGGTCCTCTGCATCACTGCTGCCAGACTCCACAGGCTCCGCAGGCAGCATCCCACTCTCTGATAGTCCTGGCTCCATCCCTGCATCACACGCAGGCCCCTCATCCGAGCCCTCACTCTCAGAGACCTCAGCCGTCCACACCAGCTGCCGGCGAACCACAACAGCGAGGTGGTTTTAAGGTTGATACTATGTGACCGCGTTGCTTAGTCTCCAGCTCTGTTCTCGGGAGCGGGGGGGGGAGACAGACAGACAGACAGACAGAAGTATTTCTTTCGCTCCCCCAAACTCTGCCAGAAATGAGTCTTTTTGAGACTTGTCGCACCGGCGCAGCCTCTTGGAGCAGAATGCCTTACCAGGTGCCTAAGACTCATTTCTGGTGGAGTTTGTGGGGGGTGGTGGGGGGGGGGAGAAAGACTTTTGCTGCTTTCCTTGCATGCAGCCAAAAGCAGAAGAAAGAAGCAGCCCAGTGACCAGACCAGGTGTGTGGGGCAAGTTCCCTCCGCCCTTTCCCCCCTCCCCTCACTACCTCGTGTTGTTCACAATGATAGCGACACAAGCCTTGTGTTCCCGCGGGCCATGTGGGCGGTGCAGCCTTGTGTTCCAGCGCAGCCTAGATTAATTGCTTTGGGGGGTGGTTTAGGAGTGACATTTCTCTGCGGACCACCAAAATTTTCTCACGGACCACCAGTTGGCGACCCCTGGGCTACAGGTATTTGCAAATCCCAGGAGGTGGCACGCACAGCCATTTGTGCCGGCACGCGAGCTGCAGGCAAATTCACCTCACTGTGCATGCGCACACCTCACAGCTGATTTTCGGCTGGTTTGAGGCCTTTTTCAGCCTCCCAGAGGCT